CCCACTAAGTTGTTGAGGCTGACCTCAAACCTGTGATCCTCCTACCTCAGCCTCTTGAGTTACTGGGATTATAGGTGAGCACCACTGCACCTGACTGTTTATTCTTTATTGTGGCCCCATTTTGTGATGGAGACAAGTTATCATCTTGCTCACACCAATGTCTCATTCTTTTTTATATTGTGAAAGTTGTCAAAATAAAAATGAAACCTCTTTTTGTCAAGTCCTATCCAAAAAAGTAAATGAAACCGGAAGGTTACACAGGAGGGGATCTCAGGCATGTATGCCTGATAACAAAACTGTTCATAAAAGACTTTGCCAGAACTACAACCTTGAACAAAGGCCACTGTAACCTTACACAAAAAATACTTCTGCAAGGACATCTGCACAGCAATTGTGTATTCAAACTTGAACCGGCACCACCCCTGCTATTAGTCCTTGTAGCCAGTGATTACTATTTCATGATAATGTAATGTTCCTAATTTCCCCTTTAAAAATGTCTGTGTCCCTTAGCCTCTTTGAATATTCTCATAATTTACTGCAGCACACATGTTCCATTTACAATGTTCTGCTATCCCTGAATAAATATCATTACTCTTTGGAGAATGTCTCTCTGTTGTTTAGGTTGATAATATAGAAAGACAAGATATTTTTTCATGGTGCTAAATTTTCCAGAAGTGTAACTACTGTATAAATTATTGTTTGCTTTGATTGGAACTGCATAGTCAAGAGGAGTCTACCCTTTTGGAAAAATCATATCACTAATGGGAATGCCTTTTACAGAATGTAAGTTAACTGAATTAACTTGATAGTCCCATATTCATGTACATTTTTAATTGCTGCATTTATGGAAATTCTACGTGTAGGTAAAAGCATTTTGCCACTTTATTTGTCTTCTAGTGTAGTCGATAATTAACACACATAGGAGGAATAAGTTCTAGTGTTCTAGAGCATAGTAGGGCAGCTACAGTTCACAATTCATTTTATATTTTATAAAGAACTAGAAGAGAGATTTTGAAGGATCCAGACTTAAAGAAATGATAAATATCCTAGGAGATGGAAATGTTAATTCCCTTCATTTGATCATTACATATTGTGTGTGTGTGTGTGTATATATATATATATATATATATTTAATTATTGTATTATACCCCATGTTGACTTAAAAAGTCAACTGAGTTGATATGATAGAGAGTTGAGCTCAAGCTTCTTCACAGCAAATGAAACAAGAACATGAAGAGAGCCTACAGAATGGGAGAAAATCTTTACCACCTGCATCTCTGATAGAGCATGTATCTCCAGGATATACAAAGAACTCAAAAAAATCAACACCAGAAAACCAAATAACCTAATCAATAAATGGGCAAAAGAATTGAACAGATACTTCACAGAAGAAACATGAATAGTCAAAAAATATATGAAAAAATGTTCAAAATCACCAGCAATTAGAGAAATGCAAATTAAAACTACACTGAGATTTCATCTCACTCCAGCCAGAATGACAATTATCAAGAATACAAGTAATAATAAATATTGGCAAGGATATGGGAGAAAAGTTTCACTCATACATTGCTGGTGTGACTACAAATTGGTGCAACCACTCTGGAAAGCAGTATGGAAATTCCTTAGAAAACCTGTAACGGGACCACGATTTGACCCAGTTATCCCACTCCTGACTTATACCCTAAGGACTGAAAATCAGCAAACTGTAGTGATACAGGCACATCAATGTTTATAGCCAAGCAATAGCCAAGCTAGGTAACCAACCTAAGTTCCTTCAACAGATGAATGAATAAAGAAAATGTGGTGTATATACACAATGGAATATTACTCAGCTATAAAGAAAAATGAAATTATGGCATTTGCCAGTAAATGGATGGAACTGGAAAGATCATGCTGAGTAAATTAAGCCAATCCCAAAAAACCAAAGACTGAATGTTCTCTTTGATATGTAGATTCTAATTCACAATAAGGGGTGGGGGAATAGAAGTTCATTATATTAGATAAAGGGGAATGAAGGGAAGGGTTGGCGATAGGATTAGGAATCAATATAACTTTCCTATGTTCATATAAGAATGAAACTCCACATCAAATACAACCACAAGAATGGGAAGTTATACTCCATGTATGTATAATATTGTCAAAATATACTTGACTGTCATGTATATCTAAAGATAACAAATAAATTCATCTGAATATGTTGTTTATATATTTATTTCCTTTTATCTTTCCTTTATGGTATACTTAGAAATTTATATTATTTTTCAAATTAGGTATATCACCATTCAATTGATTTCAAATAATAAAGTGAGAATTACAAAATATTTGCTTCAAAAGGGTGAAGTGTGCACTAGTGGTGAATGACTAGATAAATAAAATGTGCTATACAGGAAGGAAATCTTATAACATTCCACAACATGTGTGTACCCTGAAGACATTATGCTAAATGAAAGCCAGTCACAAAAATATAAATATTGTATAATTCAACTTATAGGCAGTATCTGAAGTAGTCAAATTCATAGAAACAGAAAGGGATGTGGTTGCCAGGGGACAAGGGAAGGAGAAATGGGGAATTATTGTTTAATGTGTAGAGAATTTCAGGGTTTTTTTTTTTTTTAATATATCCAGGAATTAAACCCAGCGGTGCTAAACCACTGATCTACATCACTAGCTCTTTTTATTTTGAGCCTGGGTCCCAGTAAGTTGCCTCGGGCTGGCCTTGAACTTTCGATCCTCCTGCCTCAGTCTCCCAAGTCATTGGGATTACAGGTGTGTGTCACTGCGGCCGAACTGAGGGGTTCAGTTTTGAAAGACAAAGAAGTTCTGGAGAATTTTTCACAAGAATGTGAATAGACTTCACTGAACTATATACTTAAAACGGTGAAGTTTGGGGCTGGGGATGTGGCGCAAGTGGTAGCACGCTCGCCTGGCATGCGTGCGGCCCGGGTTCAATCCTCAGCACCACATACAAACAAAGATGTTGTGTCCGCTGAAAACTAAAAAAATAAATATTAAAAATTCTCTCTCTCTCTTTTTAAAAAATGGTGAAGTTTTTAAGTATATAGTTTTATAATTTTTAATGACAACAACAACAAAAAACAAAACAGAATGTTATATGAGATGGTGCAGAAAACCTGCCCTAGTCCGGTTGAGATGTCTCTATTCTATATTCCTACTACTTCTTCTGCTCATTTAGACAATTATCCTTGTACCATGGTACAGTGCAATCTATTTTCCTATCCTTATTCCCCCCACATTGGAAGCACCATGAAGAAGCAGCTATTGTTAAACACTTTCATCTATAAAGCCTATCATGGGGCCTGGTATACACCAAGTGCTCAATAAGGGTCTGCTAAATAGATAAGCCAAGACATGATATTACAATAGTCTCCACAACAATGAATAGACCAAGACATGATTATTCCATATAGATACTGTATCCTTTAAAAAAATCTCCATCATAGATTCCACTGGTTTGTTTAATAAAAGAATTTTTATGTTTTTATATGATCATTTGTCCTCAGGGGAAATCTGAAGACTAGACATGGAAAGATAAACAAAGGACAGATCTGTGAGGGTGACATCACTTTTTAAGTGATTACTTTTGGATGTGATTTCCATTTACTCTAAGCATATGGATTTTTTTTTTTTTACATTTGCCCCAGAGAGAATGTGTAGAGCCTGGTATATCGAATGAGTTTTTGTTTTTATGGTTAATAATTTGAGGGTTTCCTGGTTCTGGAAACAAAAGGGTTAAATAGACTTCACTATGCCTATCTACCCCCCAAACTCTTTAATTTTTGTCTTCCTAACCTAGATCATGTTCTACCTGCTTATTATAAGCAATGATGTTATGGGTTTCTTAAATCACTAAATCCAGCTATAATTAAATACCATTGGTTCTAAATATGTCTCAAAGGGTCTTGCATAATGCTTGAATAGAAAAAACCAAAAAGGTCAAAAGCTTTTTTGATTTTTGCTGGGAAATTGTTGTGCACTTTATATTCATTTAATTAAAAAAAAAACACATTAAACTCCTCACACAATCTAATTTGCTATCCAGAATTCTTTTTCACTAGGACACTCAAAATAGCTCAGAAATGTGTCATATCAGGGAAGATTTCCTTGGATGCTTTTTGTTAAGAATAATCCATCCCTTCCACTTCTCTATGTTTGTTTCATTCATTTCTTATTCACTCTTTGATCTATTGAGGTATTTTTTTAAGCTTCAGTGATATCTGGAAGATGCTTTAGATTATTCAAATGTCAAACCCTGAAAACTATTTAACCTCCTTTGTTACTAAGATAAACATATTTTTTGATGTCTTAAGTTATAAAAAGAACCAGAAGGCAATATGGTAGAACAACGGGCAAATTCATTAATATCATTTTACTTTTACTTTGTTGATGCTCATCATTAGAAAGAAACCACAGAATCCCTCTCTGCAGTCAGTGTTGGGCATAAAAGGTGTGTGTGTGAGAGAGGTACATGGGATCCAGTTTTGCTGTCCTTCAAATGACTAACCATTGTTGATTTGATCCTATTATATATTGACAAATCCATCATTTACTGGGTTGAAAGCTATGTGCTAAATAACTATGTGCTAAAATTTTTCTGTTTCTGGGCTCTCTGTTGAGTCTCATCCATTTGTCTGTTTTGCTAGCTTCAGAATATACTTAGGATTGCTAGGGCTAGTCCTTTCTCCTTCTTCTTTTTCATGAGTTTCCTGGCTATTTTCCAACGTTGGTTTTGAATTTCCTGGCTCCTACATTTCTGCCTTGGCTTTGTTAAATCAATATGAACCTAATACACTTGGGCTCTTCCAATAACAAATAGTTCTTCAAAAAAGACTCATAGCCAGGCCTTAAAGAAACAATAAATCTCCTATTTTCTTTAGTTGGCTTACACGAAAACATAGTCACAGAATATAAATCTTCCTATCACCTTCATCATGCATCATGCCAAGGTACTTAAATGCAGTGTTCCATTAAAAGCACTGTACCTGAGCAATTGTCTCTGGGTCCAGTGGCTTGTGGTCATTGAAGCCCGTGTATTGCCCTGATGAGGTGGACCTTCTGATAGGAGGGCTATCAATCTTTTTGAGGGAGTCGTGCCGGCTGATGTTGGTCAGGCTGCCGTGGCCGGGTCGACGCCTCCTCTCAGGACTGTCATTGTTGAGGCCACGGTTCTGCAGTAGGCCCCGGGGGTGGCTGGCCAGGCTTGGGGACCCCAGATCAACTGAAGAGTTGGATAGAGCATGTGGGGGGTGGAGGGGACAATGGCCGTCACTGGTCCTGCCAGGACGCCTTGCCGGAGGGGGTGGCTCTCCTCTTTTTCTTTGTCTGGATATCCACAGAAAAAGAGAGAAAATAGGAGAACTTAGAACACCAGGAAAACTGTGAGGCTGAAGTTGTGATGACTCCTCAGCCCCTGGAGAAGTGGAGGTTTAGGAGCGTGGTCACCAAACTCCACTTACCTGGCTAAGTAGCCATCAGAATGACGGTCTGTTGGGGAGTTCATGTCCTTGGATGAAGACTTATCTTCAGTGACAGGGCCACTGCTGGCTTCACTGTCAGCTTTTTGGCTCAGGGTGTCTGAAAATGTATCATCCCTGAAATGATAAGAATCAACAGTGAGGGTCTTTTGTTAGATGAATGGGACCAAAAAATAAATAAAGAAGGGATAACATTTATGTAAATAAGCCTTCATTTTATTAATATAGCTTTTGTTATAAAATAATATGGTCTAGTTGACAGTAAATTGGGAATTTCATATATCTATGCCTATACATATAGATATACATGCAAAATAACAATGACCTATAACGAAACATCAAGAGACAACTGTTACGATTTTAGGAAAGATCCTTCTATACTTTTTTCCTATACCTGGAATACATTATCTATGAGTGTGTGCATTATGTACAATATTTATACTATGAATATCTATGTTTAGGGAGTTTAGAAATATATGACTGCATGTCTACATATGCACATAATATTTCCTGGATTCTGACCTACATATTTAGTATTTCTAAAATTATGCTAAGTCACTAAATCATTGTATACAATTTATATAGTGTACTTCTCTTTCCCTTGAAAAGCTACTCTTAAATTGGTAATGCATTCCAAAATGTACTAAGAAAATAGGGATTATACTGTACACGTTACTTTATAACCTGCTGTATTAATGTGTCACGACCATCTTCCTGTGTCCTTAAATATTTTTGAAATCAGAGCTTTCTCATCAGCAAGATTGAAACAATAAACACCTAGAGGTGACTCCCTTAGGCTGTAAGTCAGTATCCTCGCCCAAGGGAAACTGGAATTAAAACCGTAGACAGATGTCAAGGAAGAACACTGCTGTTTTTGGAATTACCAGTGTCACTCTAGCTCCTAAAGCCATTTTCTTTTCAGAGATTATTTTTCTAAGAAGCTGAAAACTTCAAGAGGTGTTTCCTACTAATTCTTGCTCCACTCCCTCTTGGTAGAGTTTGGAAAATGAGTATCTGCTGGTCCTTGAAGAACCATTAGCAAAGAGCCACTTGAAAGGTGAAGAACTGTGTCCAGCTCAGAAATTTTATCTCTGTAGCCTCTTTTGCTCTTTTACCATTAAAACCAAAGTCAGTTCAAGAGCCACAGCTCTGGAGTCCTCTATTGGGAGCACTCCGGCAGCCAAAGTTGGGACTACTCACATATCCTGCACCACTATGTACTGGTGAGGCACAAGCCCGTCAATCCCGTTGTGCCTGCCTTCCCACCAGTCCTCAGACGCACGGTGATACAGCAGCAGAGAGGCACCCTTCTTGAAGGACAGTTCTCGGGCAGACCGCCCAACATAGTCAAACTTGGCTATTGCTTCTATTGGCTCACATTCTACAAAGAACACACCAGAACATGGAGAGGGACAGGATTGTTAGGAAGATGTGATACACGATCCAAAAGGTCTATGAGACTTTAGAAATAAATAGGCTATTTTAATATCCAGACTGAACGAGGTAATAAACAAATCGCCGGCAGGAGGAAATATGGGCAGTTAAAACAGATAAAGGAAAACATTCCGTAGCTGTCATCCATTTGCACACCCAGAAAAACCAAACTCTAGATCTTAATCTCCATAGCTTTTTACTTGAGATATAATGACAGTCTAATAAAAATATTATAACTTTGCAATATAATATATGAAATCTCTCCTTTGGTTGGAATATCCTCCACAGTGCTCCGATACTTACTTTTGACACTGATGGAGTTTCCTTGCAATATATTAATACCATTTATAACATGGAAAAATCACCATCCCAGAAAACACTAGGGAGTTTGTGCGTTATTAGCTTATTATTATTATTGTTTTATGTGGTGCTGGGGATCGAACCCAGTGCCTCACGTGAGGTATGCTAGGCAAGCGCTCTACCACTGAGCCACAATCCCAGCTCTTTTAGCTTATTTTTAAAAAAATCAAGAAAAATCAGCACAATAAATATTATTTGAATACCTTTAATTTCCTCATGGACTTTTTTGGTACCATAAAATTTTCAACTACCATCAAAAGTAATGACAACTTTTTCTCTTACATCAGTAACAAAGTTTGGATCTTAATTATGAATCAAGCAGGCTGCCCTTGACCCAAATTAAAAGATCAGATTTAAAAATTATGTCTTCTAGAGATTAAAAGATATTCAAGGAAAAAAAAAGTCAAAACTCAAAACTTTACAGGCTGTATAATTCCATTTATACAGCATTCTTTGAATGACGTAATTATAGAGATGGAAAATAGGTGTGTGGTTGTTGAGGTAGTGGGGGAAGTGCTGGGGAAGTGATTGTGGCTATAAAGGGTAGTAGGTGGAATCCTAGAAATGGAACTGTTCATCTTGACTATAATTGTGGTCATACAAATCTGTACATGTAGTAAAACTGTACAGAACTAAGTAAACACACAAATAAGTGCATGTAAAACTGGTGAAATGTGAATATGGTGAATAGATTATATCAGCATCAACATCCTGGTGGTGATTATTGTACAATACTTATGTAGGTATTACCACTGAGGGAAACTGGGAGAAGACAGAGCGGATCTCTCTGTATTATCAAAAAATCTGTTTAAAATTTTAAAAATTTGTTCTTTTTAGATATATATGATAGAAGAGATATTTTGAGATATTATGCATACATGAAGTATAAATTCCCATTCTTGTGGTTGTACACGATGTGGAATTACACTGGTCATGTATTCATATATTAACATAGGAAAGTTATGTTCAATTCATTCTACTGACTTTTCTATTCCTATCCCCCATTCCTTCTCTTCATTCTCCTTGATCTAATCCAATGGATTTCTATTTTTCCCCTCACCACCCTCCCTTGTTATGTGTTGGCATCCACATATCAGAGATTTTTTAATATACAGCTAGGCTTCTTTCTCACCTGATAAACTCAAAGTTCTCTGAGATATATAAAGTAAAAGCATAAAATCCAATAAACACTGAAAAGTTTAGGTTTCATCTTATATAAAGGGTCTGGTTAAATTTCAACAAAACATTTTTAAAATGAAAAATGTACCATCATTTTGCTAGTGGATAATATTTGAGGTCAATAGTATTTCATATCACAGTACCACAACACTCTGATTTACATGTAAATGGATAATTTTTAAAACAACAATTTAAGACTTTTAGCAATTGAATATAACTTTCAACTCATATGGTAATATTCTGGCGTTCCCTCCTAAAATCACATACATATTACATATATGTATATGTGTGTGTATACACACACAAACAGATTATATATATATATATATATATATATATATATATATATATATATATATATATATATATATATTTTTTTTTTTTTTTTGTAGTGCTGGGGATTGAACCCAGGGCCTTGTGCATGCGAGGCAAGACGCAAACCCTCTACCAACTGAGCTATATCCCTAGCCTCCTAAAATCATATTTTATTAAAACTATATGAATGACAGTTTTATTAAATTCTCTAAGTCTGCTTCTTAGAGGAGAGATAGATTTATGCTTAAAATAAATGACTTCATAGTTTGTTCTAAACTTGCAGATAAAGAATCAATTCTGGTTGACTTGAGATGACAGAGCAAAACCTGTTCTTCAGTTCTCCAGGGAAGTAAAAATGGTCATGGAGGAATGAAGACATGCTAACTTATTAAAAATGACTTCATGACATACAAGTTTGGAAATTCCTGTATGAACATATCCATATACTTATATTTGATTTTACTAAAAAAATTAGAAAATATTAGCACATGACATGGTATATAATCTTAATATATTGTGTCCAAGAGGGAAAAAAAAGAGAATCATTAATGTGTCGTAGTTAACATTATATTTCATGTCATTCTATCATATACTATTAATGCTGGCCAAGAGCTATTTAAGACAATTTAATATATATGTATATATATTAAATACACACATATAAATTATATATACATACATTTTATCATAATTTCACAATCATCATCTCTACAATCATCATCTCTTCTTTTTAATATTTTTTGAAACAACTAGGAACAGAATCATTAGACTCATTTTACTGAAATGTGGCTAGGTTATGAAAGAATGACCGAATGAAGAAAAAAATATGTTTTATTGGTAATCCTGGTACATCAACCAGTAATTCTGAGCAACTTCATTATTTTGACTTTTTCTACTCCCCTGAGAACCATTTCACAGTCAAGTGTCAATCAATAAGCTATTTACAAACATCTTAGTCTAGGCATTGCATGGCAAATCAATCTCAGGGCATGCTGCACATGCCCCTTTCATAAGGACAGCTTCACAGTCTGTTAATATCCTGCAGAGAGAGACTTCATAGGATGCTGTTACCACTGATATCAATAACAATAATAGTAAGGGTATAACATGATCACTTGGTTTTTCTGCATGGCTGTTGTGATTTGTGCAAAGGGAAAGAAAATTCAGCAGTGCTGATAGACACCTTGACTGCTTGGTGTTACCAAATCTTATGTTTCCATGTCTTATAATTTTACATAAAATATTATTACATCATTCTTTCTCTTGGGGACCTTACTATCCCTGATACTTTTCTTCCTTGATCTGCTACCTACTGCCCTTGCAGAGGATGGTTTAGTTCTGTGACAGCCAGTCGACTGAAAACCAAAGCTGTTCTCTCTGGTGATACGATTTCAGAGATACCTGGCAATTGAAAAATGTAATCAATATTCTAGTTAATATAGTTATAGGATTTTGGAGGTTTGGCTGTGGGACAGAATATCTGTCCTTTGTAAGCAATGCTTTGTCTTTTGGCAAAATCAGGTGAATGTGATCAAAACGGTATCTAATACATAGAGCACTCAGCACTTTCTTTCTTAGGTCATGAGGTAAGAATGATTGACAGATGGCATGATGATAAGACTGATATTTGGGAAGAGAGATGGCTGGGGCTTTGTCTTGGCTTTTCCTCTCACTGAAGAAAGCAAGGACACAGAAATCAGCAGATAAAAAAGATTGAACCATATAGAGAACAAAGAAACCTAAGACAAAAGAAAGGAGGGTGCAGAGGAAGGGTTCAGAGACTTTCAAAAGCAACTTCATAGAAACAGAAGCTCTCACTGGGCGTGCCTGAGGCATGGGAATGGTGAGTTCAAAGCCAGCCTCAGCAAAAGCAAAGCACTAAGCAACTCAGTGAGACCCTGTCTGTTAAGTAAATACAAAATAGGGCTGAGGATGTGGCTCAGTGGTCAAATACCCCTGAATTGAACAATCCCTGGTACCGACCTCTGCCCCTCCCCCCAAAAGAAAAAAGAAATAGAAGCAATCACTTTAAAGAAGGTCTTCTAACTTTAATTCAGAAAACATCAATTTGTTTTGCTTTTAAAGACACAAGGAGTTAGCTTTTTTTTCCTTTTTTTTTTTTTAGCAGAGAATAGATACTATAAATCTTAATTGCCCTCCTGCTAAAATCAACTGAAAATCCTATATTTAAAAAAAACCAAACATTGGTAATTGCATTAATAAGCTACAGTAAGGAATACTAAAGACCAAAAATTCAATGAAAAAATGGGAACCCAGAGAGGTAAATAGAATATTAGAACATATGAGTCAGATTTTTGTACTGAGGGTATTTTCCTGGTCTAGTTAAACTTTTGTTTTTTCATAGGAGACTAAGTTGGGGAAGCTCAGCATGGGGCATCTAAATATCTTCCTCTCCTACCAAAAGAATCAAATTCTTGGTGTCTCTTTAAGTGAGAACCTCACTGTAATGTTCTAGAAGTTTCTATAATATGTTTAGTTCTCTTCTCGAACTTCTAAGTTCTGGAACTCTCCCATCCACCTCACTTCCTGAGCAAATAATCTATCTTAAATCTTAGAATACATCATCTCTGAGAGTCCCAACCACATTCAAGCCCTCAAACAGGTCTGCATTTTAGATTCACAATACCTGGGTGATCTGGAAAACCTCAAACCAAAAATGATGGCATCCTAGGCTAGTTGTGCCTGAGGCAGAAGAAAATGAAAACCCTCTCTGGAGGAACCTATCTTCAAATGAGCCTAATACATAAAAAATTTACAAATACACTGCAAAATAAAACCCAATGAGAGAGCCGATAAAAATCTAGGAATATATATGAGAATTACGAGACACATAAACAGAAGCAATGGAAAGGATAAATATTATAAGCAAAAGCAAGAGATTATAAAAAATGGCCAAACATTATATATGAAAGTACACCAAACAGAACATGTAGAAATTAAAAAAAAAAAAAGTAAAAATACACTCGATAGTTTTGAAGAAGACTAATCACAGATATAAAAGGAAGAAAAAAATTTGTGTGTATAGCTGAAGAGGTACTAAGAGTGATGATTTATATGTCAATATTAAAAAATAAAGTGTTGAAAATTAATATGAAGTATTAAACTTAAAAAGGTAAAAAAGTTCAAAAAATAATCTCTACAGAGTGTCTAAAGTTAATTGGGAGACATTTAATAACTGGAAACATGTTCACAGAGTGGAAGACTAAATACTGTAAAGATATCAATTCTCCCATGTAAATATATATAGAATCAGTATAACTGCAATAAAAAACCCAACAGATTTTCAGGGATTTTAAAAATTACTTTTTAAGAATTTGAAAAGCTGAGTCTAATTTTTTTTTTTTTTTGGTGCTGGGGATTGAACTCAGGGGCACTTGACCACTGAGCCACTTTGTATTTTATGAGAGACAGGGTCTCATGGAGTTGTTTAGTGCCTTGCTAAATTGCTGAGGCTCGCTTTCAACTCGTGATCCTCCTGCCTCTGCCTCCCAAGCTGCTGGGATTACAGGCGTGTGCCACCACACCCAGCATGAGTCTAAAATTTAAGTGGAGTTACAAAGGGGCAAGAATGGTAAAGAAGGACAAAGTCAGAGACCTTGCCTTGCTAACTATTCAGATTTATTAAAAGGTATCAAAATTGAGACTGTGGTATAGGGAAAGACAGGTAGAACAGTAGAAAAGAAGACTGGTGGTTGCTAGGAACTGGGAGAGAGAAAATCAGGAGTTACTAATCAACAGAAATAAAGTATCAGTCAGGCAAGTGAATAAGCTCTAGTGATCTGCTGAACAAAACTGAACCTATAGTCAACAATAATGTACGGTACACCTACATTTTTGTTAACAGGGCAGGGCTCATGTTATGTGTTTTATCACAATAAAATAAAAAAAAACTATAGGAGAATTATCTTCATTATCTTAGAGTACAGAAGGATTTCTTAAAGTTGACACAAAGTGAAATAACCATGAGGGAAAAGACTGAAAAATTCACCAGCTTTAAAGTTAAGAACCTCTGTTTAGTAAAGGGCATAAGAAGCATGTGAAAAAAAAAAAAAGCTTCAGAACAGAATATTTTTGCAAAGCCCCCCATAAAGGGCCACAATAACTCTTTACACAGAGGATCCAGACCCGTAGAGAACTCTTACACATTAAATGAGGAAAAGACAAAAACAAACATAAAACCCCCAAAACCAAAACCAAACTAAACCAAACAAAAGAAGCCTGGGGAACCCAATTGTTAAAAAAAAAAAAAAAGTCTAGAAAAACTGGTTTTATAGTAGCATGAGCACAGGGCTTACCATCTTCGCTGGTGTGGGGCTCGGTACCAGCATCCTGGTCCACTTCCTCCAATGTACCGTGCTCACTGTATGGGCTGTCACTGTGGAGCAGAAATGGGAATTCATATGAAACAAAAGTGGGGAGAATTGTTAAAAATGAGTAATTGCTGCCTCAAGGAAAAATATGGTTTTTAATGGCAAAATTTTTACTGGATAGTCTGTCAATGGAATATTAGAACCTCCATTGATTATCTGGTTCTATGGTGATATCTAGCTCTCTATCCATCCACATTCATCTTTAACTAGATTATTTCACAATTCTATTAAGACAGAAATTATAGAGAACAAATGGCATTACAAATAACTCTTATCCAAAGAAAGCAAATTAGCTGAATTCAGACAGAAGATGTTTAATTATTGCCCCATAGACAGACGTGTTTTTGCAAACTCAACCCATTGTTTTGCTACATATAAATTGATGGATCTTTGACTTCGTCTTTGAACTGACCATAGCATCTTTCCCATTATTCCTTGGCATGTGTTCATTTTACATCTATATGAGAATTATGATTTTTATCCTCTTTTAAAACTTATCCTTTAACACTACCACTACCTCTCCTCAAAAGTATGCTAATAGGTAAAAATGCATTGGTCACAAACATAAAACTGATGTTACTGTAAAATCCCATTTATATTGCTGATGTTGGGGGACAAGGATAACTACTGTATTATTGATTTTCTGTGTAAAATGAGCAGTGCCCTAGAAAACACTATGTATAAGCAAAAGGACATACTCAAGCCTACATTAACCTTGGTTGCAAGGTTATAACATAGGCTTTACCCAATTTGGAAAAGCAGTGACCACAAAATGTCCTAGATTACAACACATCAAATACTACTGACCCTATCTTTACATACTTGGTCTTTGAAAAAATGAATAAGACAGCAGAGCTTACTGATAAAGCCCAAATATCTAGGAATGCTAAACATGCCTTTGACACTAGCTTTAAAACAAAGATGACTATGACAATAGAATTAGGTATCTCAGCAGGGCTGAGTTTTATTCATTTACTTTCCCAGAGCCCAGCTTCAGGCAAGTACCCTGCACATAATAAGTACTCAAGTGAATATTACTAAATTTAATTTCATGTGTAAAATTGCTGGATACACTACAGAACTGGAATTTAGCATGGGCTGTCGCTAATTTAGGAAGCAATACTTCTGGAAATAACACCCAGTTTTCTTAACCGTCATACTATCCTAAAGTAAAAATGCTTTCAGTTATTTTTGATCTTTCAGTGATGTGTTCCACTTTTACTTAATCCTCTGCAAGGAAAGGGGAAACACAGTGTCCTAGGCATGGTCCACAATGAGGATTTAGACATGTTTATTTGTAGCTACTGCTGAGTCTCAGCTGCTCAGACAGTTCTTGAAGGAGGCTGCATGTGGAAAGACTCCTGTGGGCTTTCGAATCAGTTGTACCTGGTGCTATGGTTTGAGTGTGTTTCCCAAAGTTCACATGTTGGAAACAATCCCCAAATTCTCATGTTCATGGGGCCTATGGAAAGTAGTTAGGGTTTCATGAGGTGATAGGGGACATGATAGAATTAGTGGCATTATAAGAAGAGGAAGAGTGTGATCACACCTACTCCCTTGCTTCTGTCATTGATGCTTTCCACCATGTTATAATCAGCAAGAAGGCCCATAACAGATGCCAGGATCTTGATATTAGATTTTCAGTCTCCAGAACTGTGAGAAGTAAATTTCTTTTCTTTATAAGTTACCCAATTTATGGCATTCGGACATAGCAACAGAACGGACTAGGTTGCTACTAATCACTAAGCAGGCTCCCTGGCCTCTCTAAATTAACAAGGTAGAATATTCATGATAAATACAAGAGATCATGTAGATGAAGTAACCAGCATATAATAGGGGCTCAAGGAATCAAAGCTTGTTTTATTGAATATGATTTCTAAGAAACTTGTTAAAACTCACATTTCAAGTATCAAATAGCACAAACATTTCAGGGTTTTTACTTTTGAGGTTATTCAATTGACTATACTGTCTCCATTTCTATACTTTACTAGGGGGTACCCATACTGCCATATTAAAAATTTTTATTCCTAAAATACATGAATATAATAAATTTGCTCATAATAATCTTTATTACTATAATTTGTTAGAATACTATTTATTAGTAAGGGTTACAGTGAAAATAAAAATAAAAATCTACTTCACTGACAAACCCCCTTTAAAATGAGTCTTAAAATATGTTATGTGGAATCTAAAATATCTGATTAAGAATGAAAAACATTCCAGTCATGGTGATGCATGCCTATAATCCTAGTAGTTTGGGAGGCCGAGACAGGAGGATCATGAGTTCAAAGCTAGCCTTATTGAGGCCCTAAGTGACTCAGTGAAATCCTGTGTCTAAATAAAATACAAAATGAGGCTGGGGATGTGGCTCAGTGGTTAAGTGCCCCTGCATTCAATCCCTCGTACCAAAAAAAAAAAGAAGAAGAAAAAAAAACACACCAAATGTAATCTGCTAATTTAATCAGCCATCTTTTTCAGATTTAATGTAATAATAAAAATGAATATAGCTCTCTATACCATCAAAACCTTTATTCTCTACAAAAGCCATAATAATAAGTGGGTTTATTTAACAAAATGTAAGTTTGGGGAAAACAGAGGGATGACTATGAATTTCCCTAGTAAAAAGCCAGTGTTGCCATGGATCTTAGTAGACTAACATTGCAAATGTTACTGCTTCTTCCCTTTCTTTTTCCTTTTTAAAAATGGAATCATTGGTCGTTTATAGGCAATTCATTTTCCTAATTCAGTCAATATCTATACTTCCATCATTTTTTTTTTTTTTTTTGGTGGGGAAAGACTAAAATTCTTGGACTTACCAGTAGTCATCTCCAGCCATACATTTCTCATAAACGGGTCCATCCAGTTCTTTAGTGTCTGGGAAAATAGTCTCATGATGGATGATGATGGTCTTGATGATTTCATTCACATGAGCTTGACAAGACACTTGATCCTGTATTTCTGGGACGGGCATCAATGTTGGGCCAAAGCAAATGGCCAGGTTGTAAGGGTCCATCATGTTCTCATCGCTGTACTGTGAAAGACTGTGAAAGAAAGCAAGAAAGAAGTCGTAAAGTAACAAGGGGGAAAATGAAACCATGTTTAATAAGATACTTCACCTTCTGAAAACAGGGATGTAAACTATTTTACTTGGTTTTTATTATTAGAATAAAATGATATTTCAGCTGACTTAAAAGTTGAACTTACTGAACTCCAAGGAAAGTAAAATGAGGTATAATTTTCTACTAGGTAAAAACTGAGAAGGGAAAATTTGTTTAATTTTAAGTGGTGTTTTTAAAAGTTAGAAGAGAGTTTAATCTAGTATCCTCTGCAATGGCAACCAAAATCAAGTAGATAAGTTTTATTTGTAAATATGGTCAGGCTCTCAACGCTGTTCAAGTAAATTTTGGAGAGACAGTATGATATCCATAAAACTTCATGTATGCCTTTAAATTTGTCTTCACACAACTTAAAAATACCTAAGATTTCAGTTTTCTTCTATATACCATGAGGAAATCTTAGAAGAAAACAAAGTTCCTTTTCTTCTTAACTATTGAAAGGAAGCAACCAACAACTCTAGGCTTTAAAATCTGCTGTTGGCTAAGTCTACCAACACTAACCAACAACCAGAGTCACAAAAACACTGACGTGCCAGAAAAGGGGAACAGAATCCTTGATTCTCTCATTCCACTAAAGGTGGAAAACTTTGGGGAAATTTCTGGTGTTTAGTACCAATGTCTAAACCAAATCCAATGGACATTTATGAAACATTTTCACAGGCAGGTCAAAATAAGCCATCTCTTTCATGCCAGGTCTCTAACCCATGGGTTAGGATGCTGTGCTAGGGAGAGTTTTGAGACGCTCTCTCTCAGTATATAGAATGTCAGCCTTGAAAGGAAATGTTAAAATCCAGGTGAACAGATGACAGATGGGAGGAGAAAAAGGAGACTCAACTACCTTTGTGAGATGATGAGAGACACAAAGAAACGGAGACACCACCTGACACGATACTTTACCCTTTCTCGGAAATAAGATAGTCTAGAAAGTAGAAAATACAAAAGCATAATTTCCATAGCTAACATATGTCTTTCCCTTCTGCCGTTTCTCAAACATTCACTCTTACAAAGAGTTCACAATAAGAGCAAATGATCATGTTTCACACCATCTTAAAAATGGGGGCAGGATGGAGAGGTGAGAATCAGAACAAGAATGGTCTAATTTTCAAAAGACACACTTGAGCTCAGCAGGGAGACGCATAATCTTTTTTTTAGTGCTGTCTTGAAGAGAAAAAAAGCCCAATATATAAATGCTACTTTTAAGTTTTGATTTTATGATGAAAAAGAATAGCTAATCTTGCTTTTTGTTGCTTTTTTTCTTTTTAAATTCTTTGCAGTGCAGGGACTTCCACATGCTAAGGCAAGCATCCTACCACTGAGTTAGACCCCTGCCTCCCAATCTCTCTTTTCCAACTTCCTGTCCCAAGCAACCTGGACTAGACCCTGGACCCCTGTCTCTTCAAGCAGACAGGGAGCAACTTCAGGCAGAATCACTGGAAGCAATGCCAACTGATTGACCCCTGGTGCATCTGTCTTTCTGTTGAGATTCGTGATGCATTAAATTCAGGTTTTAAAAACTTTCTTAATGAACAGACTCCATTGCGGCTCATTGGTTCATAGTGGATTCGCTCAGCTGTGTCAGGAAAATTTCGTAGGAAGAGCATGGAGAGGGCCAGCAGCAATATAGGGCAGGCCCTGGAAATTTGGGTGTCGGGGCCTTAAGACATGTGCAATTAAAAGTAAAGAAGGAAAGGCCCTGGGTTTTTACAACTGCCTGGGTGACTAGGATTATTTAAAGGTTAAACATAGAGCCTCTATCTAAACTAAATATAATTATTTGAATCTTTCTGGATACCACTAGTTTCTAGTAGTGACTTCTTTTTTTTTTTCTTTTTTTCTTTTTTATTTCAGTGGTGACTTCTATACAAATGGATTCCTACTGTCATTTGGGAATGTTCTGGGCACCATAGGGTCAGCAGTAGAGACCTCTTCTGTTTGGTTCCCCACCAACATTGTATGGTGTTTGGTTCTTGGGGCCAACCCGAGTGGGTATGATTTCAGGACTAGTCAGCAGGGTTGTAGAACATCTCCATGGCTTTTGAGGATGCAAAACCTTCAGTGAAATAGAGATGAGAAAATATCCTAATTTGAGGAAGGGAGGGTACATGCCAGCTTACTCAACATGTTGACTCCCCCTGGATTTCTTTATTTCCAAGTGCTTAACTGAAATGCTGCACAGCAAGGAAGCTCTTCAATAGGACTCCTGGAAGATATTCTTATAATGGAGCCCATACATCAGGAAATAACTGAACATCAAGTTGCCTAAAATAAGAGTAAAGTTTCTCTGAAAACTGTGTAGTGGCTTTTAAGATTTGTTACATTACTTTAGAAAATATTTTAGAAATATATTCTTCTTCACAGGGTCTCATTATGGTGCATTTGCAGAAATTCTTCTTTGGTTCTGTGAATAAGTCTCATCTATGATTTTCTTGCATCTTTGACTATGACATTAAAAAATCACAGAAACTTTCTGTAATGAGCAGACAGTTTATATCATTTTGACAAAAAAACGTTAGCTTTGGGTGGAGGTTGGAAAAACATATTTCACTAGCAGGTTTTTTTTTTTAGTAGTATTTGGATATTTTTGCATTAACTTCTGGATCAGAGGTTGAGTTTTTATCTATCAATCATACAAAGACTTTGATCTGCTGAGAAAAAAATGTACCTTCAGTCTACATTCAATCATTTTCTCTTCTACTCTGCTGATAAATAGAACACAATGTACATTTTTATAAGATTCAGGAACACAGAATTCAGATGGGCATTTTGACAGAGCATTAGGGTACTTACTGATTGAGGAAGGCAAAGAGGTACCTCATCACTATAAGGACCGACCTGGGCAAGGTCAGGAGGAGTTTGCGGATGTGAAGCGCCCTCTCATAGAGATTATCTATTCCTACAGAGAGAAGATGACATGGTCAGGGTCCTTTAACTTCCACATTTAAAGCAGATCATTGCAGTATACATCTGAACATAAACAGTCCTTTGCCCTTGGGAAGATGCAATCATAATCAATACAGTGAATAAATGACCAGCTTGGGTGTACCACTGTTTCTGAGGGTGTTTCCTCTGACCCACCACTGTTTTGATGACTGTGGCCTTAGCCTTGAGGAGTTTAATTCTTCCTAGATCTAAAAGTCATTTTCCCCTTTGTTGCTAATTTAAAATTTTGCATCTAATATGGTTTCAACTCCTTATTGCTGCACAGGGCCTGATGTGGCTTTAGGGGCATTGCACCAATCTCCTCCAGCCATTATTCATTAATTCATCACATATTTGTGAGCCACTCTGATCCTGGCAATATGCCAGATTTTGAATCTCTCCTTTCTCAAAACTACCATAGCATTTTATTTATGATTTTTTGCCTTGTTTTATATTATTGCACCAATTTTCTAAAGCAAATATTTAGGAGAGCCTACTATGTTCCAAGTGCTGAATTAAGCCTTAGGAACAGATCAGTGATATAATTCCAGCCCTCACAGAAAGTACATATTTATATTATTTATTTCCCCATGGGATGGTGAGCTCCTTAAAAAGAAGAGTCCTAGGAGGGATGTCCTAGCATTATTCTCCCTCTTTTCTAGGCCCAAATTGTCCAAAATAGCTCAATACTAATGATCTTGTGAAACAGCAGCAAAAAAAGTCACTATACTAATCCCTTCTTTGCTTCACTATTTATACTTTACAATACATTTTTAACATACTATAGTATCTAAGTTAATGGCAATAACATCAGGAGTCAGGGCATATGCTGTCATCCCCATTTAATAGGGTAAGAAAGTGAGACCTGGGCAAGTGGCTTTCTCAAGGTGAATAGGCTAGAAGGGGTGAAGCTGGGATTAGAACCTCTGTCTTCTGTTTCATAAATCTGCTAATTTTTCTTGGATCTCAAAGTGCCTTTATGAAGGACAACTTTTAAGTCACCCAAAAGGTGAACATTTGAGAAAATACTTTAAAGTATTCAGTTGGATGAGGTGAGGCATGTCTGTAATCCCAGTGGCTCTGGAGGCTGGGGCAGAGGGATTGCAAGTTTGAGGTCAACTTCAGCAATTTAGCGAGCTCCTAAACAACTTAGTGAGATCCTGTCTCAAAATAAAAAATAAAAAGGGCTGGGGATTTGGCTCAGTGGTTAAGTACCCCTGAGTTCAATCCCTGGTCTTCCTCCCACAAGTTACTTCATATTGTTCCATCTAATTCTTAATTCCTAACTGCTCTTGAGATATTCATATCCTACTTGAACAACATCAATTCTCCACCTCGTTTTTTTTTTAACTTTCTCCCACCCCCCAAATGTGGATATCCCTCAAAAGATTTCTATATGATCTCTTCAATGGCAACTTCATTCAGTCTCAAGGTTACAGCCATCTCTTTTAGCACGGTATCTTTTTTTGTCCCTTGTGTGCGAGAGATGTCTGGCTGTTTCTTCTTATGGCTATCTGACTGCTAATTTCCTCAGCTGAAGTTTTTTTATTATTTTTTCACTCAGACCATCATAATATTCTCCTAACTCAGTTTCCCTTTCCCATTCCTCTTAAACTAGTGGCACTCAGCCTTGACTTGGGTTCACTTGGGGAGATTTTTAAAAGTGCTGATGCCGGGATTCTTTTATGCAGCCAAGGTTGAAAACTATTGCCTTAATTACTCATGCCAAACTCATTTTCCTGGAATTTTGAATGCTGACTCCAGCTGCTTTCTACTTATTATCAAATGGGGCCATTTTATTTGTCCCTTTGCACAGTTGAAAAAGGTACAAAAAATGTATTAAGAATATTCTTCACTCAACCACAAGTTAAGTTTGCAAAATAGCAAATAATTTATCAGGATTCCTGGGGAAAGAACACTTCCATTCCTGCCTGCCTTTAAATATGCAGGAGTTGGAATTGTAGCTCCGTCATCTCATAAAAAAAATGTTATTTCAGAAACTCTTTAACCAGAATGTTAAGTAAAATATAATAACACATTGAACATTCCTGTGACATTTTTTATTTTTTAAATATAGACCTCTAATTAGTAATAGCATGAGTGTAGTAACTATGAATTGGAAATGTTATATTTGGACTTTTTATTTGTAAAGTATTTCAAAACAAGAAAAACCCCCACTATGTACAAGGTAGGCTAGGGTCACATCTATTGAAGATAAAGTAATATGTATAATACACTTTTCAGGCAGTGGTCTTTGTTTTTATTTACTAAAAAAGAGGGAGTAAGATGCTTAAAAAAAGTTATTAAACCAGGACATATCATTCAGGCCACTAGAACTCAAAAATTAAATTATTAACATTTCCTCCCAATTTAGACCCAGAATGCCAGTAGGATCAAACTATGTTGTAGAGTAAGCTATTTGCCTTCTGTAACAACCTCATGGAAACTGGGGAACTTACACTGTATCGAGGAAATATCTATGGATGAAGTAACATGAAAGTCATTGAGAATTTAATGGGGATGATTTTTCACCTATTATTTTATATCAGAATTAACTGGTTAAAAGCTTATTATCTGAAATAGCTGACTTTTAATAACTGTATCTGATGGTTGTTGCTGCTTTATTTTTTTTTACATTTTTTTAGTTGTAGATGGACATAATACATTTATTTTATTTATTCATATTGATGTGGGGCTAAGGATGGAACCCAGTGCGTCACACGTGTGAGGTAAGCCTTCTAACCCAGCTTCAGCCCCTGTTGCTGCTTTATTTTAAAGAGTGAAAAGATAATTTAGCACACTGGTATCAATTAATATTGACATTTAGTAGCTTGTGCCCCTTGTTCATTAGTTAATTGTGTTTGCATTAGTGATTTTATGTTCATGCTTGAAACCAGTTACAAAGTTTAATACAATCATATAAATATAAATTGTAAAGATGAATGGTCTCACCAATGGTCCTTTGTTGGCAAAATTCTCTCCTCTTTACTGGCCACGTATAAAGGCACATGTGAGGATGAAAAACAAAACAATACCAAACGCTCTTCCCAAAACACTTCTTGGGTGTTTTGATAGTTAAATCTCCTGATTCTCCAAACTAATCCTCACTTTAAAGTTTAGGTCACCAGGGACAGGATTTCAGCAGCCAGGTTTTACTTTATTTTATTATTTGTTCTTTTAAGTTATACATGACAGTAGAATGTATTTTGACATATTATACATACATGGAGTATAACCTCCCATCTTGTGGTTGTACATCATGTGAAGTTTCACTGGAGTTACACAGGTCGTGTATTCATATGTGAACATAGGAAAGTTATGTCCAATTCATTCTACTGTTGTTCCCATTCCCATCCTCTCTCCCTTACCCCCATTCCCCACTGTCCAATCCAGTGAGTCTCCACTCCTCTCAACACCCCACCTATTTTGAATCAGCATCTGCTTATCAGAGAAAACATTTGGCCTTTGTTTTTTTTGGTGGAGTTTGGCTTATTTTACTTAGCATGACATCTCCAGATACATCCACTTATCTGCAAATGCCATAATTTCATTCTTATTTAAGGCTGAGTAATATTTCATTGTGTATATGTACCACAATTTCTTTATATCCATTCATCTATTGAAGGGCACCCACGTTGACCATAGCTTAGCTATTGTGAATTGAGCTGCTATGAACATTGATGTGGTGGTGTCACTATACTGTGCTGATTTGAAGTCTTTTGGATATATGCCAAGGAGTGGGATAACTGGTCAAATGGTGGTTCCATTCCAAGTTTTCTAAGGAATCTCCATACTGCTTTCCAGAGTGGTTGCACCAATTTGCAGTCCCACCAGCAACATATGAATGTACCTTTTCCCTCACATCCTCTCCAACATTTATTGTTACCTGTATTCTTGATGATTGCCATTCTGACTAGAGTGAGATTTGAAGTCTCAGTGTAGTTTTAATTTGCATTTCTCTAATTGCTAGTGATGTGGAACATTTTTTCATATATTTGTTGACTATTCATATTTTTCGGCGAAGTGTCTGTTCAGTTCTTTTGCCAATTTATTGATTGGGTTATTATTATTATTATTGGTGTTGAATTTTTTGAGATCTTTATATATCCTGGAGATTAATGCTTTATCTGAAGTTCAGATGGCAAAGATTTTCTCCCATTCTGTAGGTTCTTTGTTCATGTTCTTGATTGTTTACTTTGAAGAAGCTTTTTAGTTTGATTCTATCCCATTTGATTTTACTTCTTGAGCTTTAGGAGTCTTGTTGAGGAATTTGGTTCCTAACTCGACATGATGAAGATTTGGGGCCTATTTTTTCTTCTAGTATGCACAGGGTCTCTGGTCTAATGCTTAGGTTATTGACCCACTTAGAATTGAGTTTTATGCAGGGTGAGAGATACATGTCTAATTTCATTTTATTACATATGGATTTCCACTTTTCTAAGTACCATTTGTTGAAGAGACTATCTTTTCTCCAGTGTATGTTTACGGTGCCTTTGTCTACTATGGGTTTGTCTCTGTGTCTTCTGTTTTGTACCATCAGTCTTCATGTCTGTTTTGGTTCCAATACCACGCTGTTTTTGTTACTCTAGCTCTGCAGTATAATTTAAAGTCCAGTATTATGATGCCTCCTGTTTCTCTTTTCTTGCTGAGGATTGCTTTGGCTATTTTGGACCTCTTATTTTTCCAAATGAATTTCATGATTTGCTTTTTCTATTACTATGAAGAATGTCACTGGAACCTTAATAGGAATTGCATTAAATTTGTATAGTGCTTTTGGTAGTATGACCATTTTGACAACTTTAATTCTGCCTATCCAAGAACATGGGAGATCTTTCCATCTTCTAAGGTCTTCTTCAATTTTATTCTTCAGAGTTCTGTCATTATCTTTGTAGATGTATTTCACCTCTTTTGTTAGGTAAGTTCCCAAATATTTCATTTTCCTTGAGGCTACTGTGAATGGGATAGTTTTCCTAA